AAAAAAAAAAAAAAAAAAAAAAAAGGAAGATCACCATGGAGCCTCAGAGAGTTGTTTTAAATGATTAAATCTGTATTCCATGGTGAAGGCACCTGGGATTTTTATTCCTTTAAATTCATCTTCATGAGAACATGTTTGCAGTACTTCATAATTACCTTCATCACGGGGAACTGGCACATGTACATTAACGTCTCAATTCCTTTTCAAGCCCGTCCCTCCCACTCGCTTCTTTTAACATGTTTTTTCCAGCATCAGATTTATTTATTTTGTAAATTCTTATCTAGTTAATTACAATACAGATTAACAGCCAGACTAATAGGCCAAAATGTACTTGTGAAAATCTCAAACATAAGCTAATAAACAATGAGAAAATGATTAAGTAAAATAATAGGTAAGTGCTTGACATATAGTAAACAATCAAAAATACCTGTCGTAATACTTTTGTAGCTGCTGTACTAAGCTGGAGATCAGGCCTACACGTAACCAGCATCAACTTCTTAGAATTAAACGCTTTATGTAAGTTACTTTTTCAACACATCAGCACAAACTCCCAAAATGCAAACCAAATATAAATGCTCATTACCCAAGGAATTCTTAGAATTGAGACTTCTACATTTAGCACTTTCAAAACAGCTGATTAGGTTGCTTTTTAATTATGTAGAAAAATTACGTTAATATTTGCATATAATTTTTATAGATGTCATAATTAAATGTTGAACTTTTTAAAAGCTCCCATGTAGACATATTTTTATGAAGTCAACGATCCTAAAATAGAGAGGCCCTTCACACCGGGCTACACCCCTAGCCTTTTCAATTTTTTATTTTGAGACAGGGTCTTGCCAAGCTACTCAGGCTATGTGTGAGTTTGTGATCCTCCTGCCGCTGCAGCCTAGGTGCTGGGATAACAGATGTGCACCACTATGCCTGGCTAACAAGTGTTTTAGAAGCTCAAAATTTTGTGCTTTCCAAGTACACATTTTGAACACAAACGTCCCTAAATGTTAATACTCGAAAGTACAGCTTTCGAATCAGTGAACAAAGAAAAGTTTAACTTTAAGATGAGGAGAATCAATACCTTCGGAAAGAAATGATCAGCTCCTTTTCCGTTCCAATGCAGGAGAGAGGAACTGAGATACATTCTGTAATTTAAATGTTACGTTTCCCACATGTTATGGTTGATACATTGTGTCAACTTGGGGAGTCTAGAGGTTTGCCTAAGTAACTTAGCAGGAAGCCAGAGTGCTTACTTTGTATACATCCTGAGCCTGTGGAAGAGGAGGACATGGAGGTTATGTGAGAGCTACATGCCCCTCAGGTGGGGGTAGCCTGTTTACAAAGTAAAGCAGAGAAAGAAGCTGCTTGCGGCCATTCCTCTGTTTGCTCTGGCTGTTTGCTGTTCGGCTGCCGTTGCCCCCTTTGCTCTTGTTGCTTTGCTGTCTTCTGCCTCAGAGCCAGCCAAGTATGGACTGAAACCTCCACAAACTGTAAGCTAAATAAACCTTTCCTTCCTTCATTTTGGGCGTTGGGTATTTTGTCTCAGCAACGAGGGAAAAATAGCCAAGACACCATATCATAAATTTTAATCACAAACACTATCATGATATTTAATGGAATTCCTTTATAAAAACTGTGATGCACAATTCTCTGTAAAATCATTTTAAGGAATATTTAGTGCCCAGGGAAAATGGACAGAATTTAAAAATATACCTCATACTTAACACGTACCACAGGCCAAATCGTGTGCTCTTTACTCCTCCCTTCTACACGTAACAGGAAATGGCAAAGACCTAACTGACAGTAGTGTTACTAGCCTGTTAATAAACTGAGAATTAGCCCTACTAGTAAAACACAAAAATCATAATGGATGTACACGTCGTGTAAGTTATAATGAGTGTACTTTACATAACTTTATATAATGTACCATATTTAAAACTGAGAGGTAGAATATCACACCTTATTATTTCCATAGGCCATATCCATTGCTTCTAGAGATAAGGAACAAAGTGCATTTATTAAATGATGCAACGACACATCATCAAGATACCTAAAATGAAAATTAAGAAATTAGACATTCTGGTCTAAAATATACAGCTGGTAACAATCTTTCTATTCATTAAAAAAAAAATTGCCTCTTACTGTGAGCTTTCAAACAACCTTGAAAGTATATTGGAAATCACTGGGAGATCTGTCATCACGGCTGTCGTCAGAACCTAGGAAGAGCACACAGTGAACGTCACAGGACACCTGCGCAAGCACCAATTCGGTAAGAGGGACAAGCGCTTACTGTACTGGGTCCTTCCACGGCTCGTCCGGGTTTCAAGGCACCGCCACTACTAGGCTTCAATCCCAGAATCCAAACAAGATGCTGAAAATTTAAAACACTAAAATGAAAATCAGTTGTAACTGATTTTAAGACTAACCAGAACTAAAATCAGTAAGTTTCTCATAACTAACATTAAAATCAGTAATTAACATTTTTTATTTTACTGAAAAAAGGTAAAACAAATTCGTACCAAAATAATAGGAGAATAACAGTGGTTAATACAGTGCATACTGTCATCTTCAAAGCAGTTTCTCAGAGTACAAGACATGGGCATAGAACATTTTCCGAACGGTATGAGCACAAACCTTCCTTTTCAATGAACCAAGAAGGCACTAGTAGAATAGCTGACTTGCATTTCTCTCCCTTTTCCCTTCCTTCCTTTCCCCTTTCTCCTCTCCTAGTTCCTTTTTCCTTTTAAGCAACTACTTCCCATTTCACAGTATCTACTGTACATTCTAGATCTTATTTACTCTCTCAATTTCTCACATCAGGGGGATAATGCAATGTTTACACATGTGCGTCTGATTTATTTCACTTATGAGTATGGTCTCAAGTTGTGTCTACTCACTATAAAAGTCTAAAGTTTATCCTTCTTTATGGCTGAGTAGTACTTCATTGTATAAAAATACCACATCTTTTTTATCCGTTCCTTGGTTGACAGGCATTTGGGTTGTTTCCAAGATATAGCTATTATAAATTGTGCTGCTATAAACATGTGTGCATACATATTGCTGTAGTAAAATGTTTTTAATTCTTCTAGGAAGATACCCAGAATAGGGATAGGTGAGTTGAATGGGACCTCTAATCCTAGCTTTTTGAGGTATCTCCACACTGATTTCCATAGTGATTGCACCAGGAGGGTTCCTTTTTTCCCACAGCCCCTCCAGTATTTGTCACTGGTTGACTTCTTGATGTGGCCGTTCTTTCTAGAGTGAGATGCAATTTCAGTGTTGCTTTAATCTGCATCTCTCAAATGACCAACGATGTTGAACCTTTTTTCATATTTATTTGCCATTTGTATTTATCTGAGAAGTGTGTATCCATCTCAGATGCCCATTTTTGGATTGGATTTTTGAAATTGGAGGGTCTGAGTTTTTTTCCATTCTTTGCATGTTCTAGACAGAGGTCCTTTGTCTGAGAGACAACTGGCTAAAAATTTGTCCCACTCTGTGGGTTGTCTTTTGACTCTGTTGGTGCTTTCTCTTGCTGTGCAAAAGCTTTTCAGTAAGATGAGGTCCCAGTTGTTGATTCTTTGAAGTATTTCCTGTGCAGTTTGGGTTTTGTTCATGCACTCTCTGCCTACACCTAGGTCTTCAAGATTTCTACCTACTCTCTCTTCCAGTAGATTTATTATTTCTGTTTTAATATTGAGATCTTTGATCCATTCTGACTTTAGTGCATGGTAGTAGACACAAGAGTAATTGATATTTATGTAAAATAATTATACCACACACAGGCAGCAGGATTTGGACCATCATGTGAAGCAGTCTGTCACTTCCTATGATCTGAGCCACGTCTTTTATTCCTTTCTAACTTCTTTAATGCTTACTGTCTACTTCCTAGAAGAGCCTAAAGCACCCACGGTGTTGGATGGTTAACTGCACGGCACTGCTTAGTTAACTGCTAGTGATTAAGACCAGCAACACTGACCTCTGACCCAGAGACCCAGACACTGCAACATACCTGAAGAGTTGCCAAGACAAGCTGCCATGACGCTCCAAGGACAGCCCCATGACAGTGCGCCAAGTTAAGTAGAGTCCTCATACACTGGATATTTTTGGAAGTTAGCTGTATTGAAAAAGGATATGTTGCAGGACCTGTCATGCATTTTAAAAAATTAAAATCTTATACAATAGTATTAATGCACTCAAAGTCTTTTTAAGTAAAAAAACTATTAAGAACATAGGTTGAATGTTTCCAAAAAAGTTCAGTTATTGCTGTTGGCCACAATAATACCAACTACACACCTAAGAGCTTCTTCTGAAAACACCTTCCAGTTAGAAGAAGTGTAATGATAGATTGTGGTAAATACAAAAAAAAAAAAAAAAGGTTTCCCAGAGATCCCCTCGACAGCTAACCGGTACCCAAAGAAGGACAAAGGCGTTACCATTACTGTGCCCTGAGGCTGGACTGCTAGAGGCTGGCCCACCGCCACAACCTGCTGGTGAGACTCGCTGGAGGGGCTGATCATCATAACACTCTGGCCCTGGATAGAATACGCTAGAACACAGAGGAAAGCCCGAATGAGTGCCATATACATTTATCCTACATAAAAAGGAATACTTAAAAATACTAGTATGATTAAATTCAACCATAACACTTATTTAAACATCATTAATATTACCTATATGTAATCCCTTTGAAAGTTCACAAGGTACAAAATTCAAGACAAGTTAAGCAACTATTAAGTAAAATGATTTTTTACGTAAATTATAAAAACTGTAAGACTGGTACCTCACATACAAAACAATTAGGGCGTGAAGTATTTTAATTTTTTGTTTGTTTTTTGAGAGAAGGTCTTGCTATGTAGTTCAGGCTGGCCTTGAACTCACTACGTAGCCCAGGCTGGGCTTGAACTTGTGGTGATCCTCCTGCCTCAGCTTTCCAGTGCTGGGGTAACAGGCATGCACCACCACACCCGGCTCACATTAAATATTTTGAACATTATAGTTCTGGCATACTTTTCAAGTTAGAGACCAATACAATTTCAGCCTGCAAACTGAATTACCACATTGAAAAAGATTTATAACACATGTAACAAACCTGGGCATCTTCAAAGTGTTCAACAAGGAACCAAATTTTTGAATGTCAGCTTAACTTAAGTGACTGCAAGAATTACTGTTCTAGTTCCATCAAAAGACCAAAAATGGAAAACCCACCATTTCACCAGTACATTAGTGTTTACAAAGGACTTTCACATTTATTTTACGGCACAATGATTATTTATGATTGGAATGATTACATTCTCCCTCCTGCTGCTGTACAGGGACCAAAGAAACTACGCTCACAGGCACTGACTTCCTCAGCCACACAGTGACCGCGCAGCAGCTCAGCTCAGAACCCCCTCATCCTTCCTCGATGCCGTCACCCCGCCGGATGGAGAGAACTTGCGTCACCTTTGCTTACATTTGTTAGAAAGTGAAGCTGCGGCGGTGGTATTCAGTACAGTAAGAGCGTAGTGTGGAGGCAGGGAGCCTTTACATATCGCAGTTATAAAGGCATCTCTGGAGGTGACAAGGCCCAGTCTTCCACAAAGAGCAGCCATAGTCAGTTCAGCTTTTAAAATATTCTCAGTGGCAGCCTCATCTGTGCTGAAAAGATAAGGTATTTTATTTAATCTGATTAACTTAGTCTAAATTATACTGTAAATACGATGTGGGATTAGGTATTCAGTTAAGTCTTAAGAAAATCTACAAAAAATAGTGGTTAAAATCAATGTATTTCAGAAGGAATTTTAACAGTTACTATCTGAAAATTTTAACTAGGTAAATGCAGTATACTATATATATATATAAACAAACATATTACTGATGAAAGAACTGAAATATTTCACTTAAAATATCAAGAATTTCTAGCTGGGCATGGTGGCACATGCCTGTAATCCCAACACTTGGGAGGCCGAGGCACGTGGATTATCTTGAGTTTGAGGCCAGCCTGGACTACACAGCAAGATGCTGTCCACCCCTCCCCCCATACATATATATCTCAAGAATTTAGAAATTAGTAGAGTCTGCGATGCTGAAGGCAAACATTAAAGGCATTGAATATAATCATCACTGCAAAAGCAGTAGTAACTCTTGTAATGAAAAGGTGCTCTGTAATGTGAGAATTGTATTTTCCACTAAAACATTACAATTCTGGTAGAAAGGCCGGGCAAAGAGAGGACAAAGGAGAGGGTGACAGAAAAAGAACTTTTTTAAGAAATGACAGTGAGATGGAAATATTAATTACCTTGATTTTACACTGTATACATGTACTGTAATATTACACTGTATTCCATAAGTATACCAATAAAATAGCAACATTCTATTCACTCAAAAAACTCGTATTAGAAAATAAATTCTTGGTGAAATTTAAGTAGTTTTTTAAATGCTTGTTTGAACTGCCACAGTGCAACATAAACTTACGAAGACTTAATACCTGGCGTCAAGAAGCAGCGAGAGCGCAGCAAGAAGACCACACCAACAGGCGCTCACCATCTCTTCCCACACGGCCCTGCTGACTGAAAGGACAAAAGGTATCACCCCTCAAGGCAACTACGGACGGCGCGGTACTGACCATTGTATCACACTGTAACACATTCCCGGTCATTTGGCAATATGAGAACTATTCTATCCACTACTTAATTATTGTATATTAAGCCTTTATATTTAAAAAACACCAAACAGAAGCCATACTATTTTCAAACTAGAAGAAGTATTAAAAAAAGTTTTAAAATAGGTATTATATATATGTGTATAGAAGTGTGTGTGTGTGTGTGTGTGTGTGTGTGTGTGTGTATACATGAAGACAGCTGGGATAAGTGTACTGCTGATGTCTAATGGTTTACTGAAAGGAACAGTTAATGCTTAAATTTTATTTTCTTGACCAATGCATGCTTATATGTAGTTATCAGAACAACTAATTTAAAGACAATAATATGCAATATAACAACCACTGGTGAATTCCTACCGTCTTGTTTAATAAAGCTCTGTATCGTTTCTACTTTTTTATTACTTGCTACTGTCTTTAGTTGTTTGATCAAGCTCGCACCCTTACACCTGGTAACTGAGCAACCTATGGCCACTGTTCACCCCTCTCATTTGAAACCCTGTATCATTTTTATTGTTTTTGTGTTGTTTTGTTTTTGTCTTCACTGTTACTTTGTTATTGCTTTTTTCTCTTTAAAATAAAAATAAAATAAAATAGATATTATAAGATCTTTCTATATACGAGTTAACTATCTTTAAAAAAAAAAAACGTATTGGCCCCTTCACCAGGCCGATCTGTAAGTGTGTGTGACCGGTGTGGACAGGCTGCAGTGTAACACGCCCACTAGGACTTAGTGAGGACATCTGCCACACACATTAGGAATCAAGCGAGTACGTGAGTACACTGAGCAAAATGTGATCCAGCACGTCACTGCTGAAGACGGAAATCACAAATAAGGTCAAGTTAAAATAAGCCTCATGGCATTAACCTGGAACAGGAAAAACCGGTACAAAGTCACCACAGCATTCAGCACAGTGTGTGAGTATATTTCCTGTACAAGGCGGCACAAAGCACACCTAGTGCCCATGTATTTTACTACTATTCTCCAGGCCTCCTTGCAAATTGACTGATACGCAGGCTGGACAAGAAACATACAAGATTAGTTTGGAACATCTTCTATTAAATAATAAGGAAGTGCTCAGACAATGTCAAATGCACATGGGACATCAAAAGGATACAGGCCAGCTTCAAAAGGACCAGTCTGAGCATCAAATCAAATAATGATAGCCACAGATTATAATCCTTTGGGAAAAAAAAATCCAGGAAGTTACCCTAATTTAAATGAATAGTAATAATAATAAACAGGCAGGGCACTGTTATAGTAGAGGGCTGATGTATTCTGCTATAAAAAGTTAATAATGAACTTTATACTGAAGACACCAGGCTGATATTATCCAAATCATAAAAATGAACAAGCCCAGTAAGGACACAAGTTGGTAGCATATTCCTCCTAATGTGCTCTTACATTAAATACAGCAGTGCAACATTTCTAAGCTAAGCCTGTCAAAAATGAATACATAAATCCAAGTATGAAGGAACATAAAACAAACTCAACTTGTTTGGCCTGTACTCCTCAAAAGTGATCCTGGACCATAAAGGACAGTAGGGGGATAACTGGCAAAACTTGCATGTGGTGTGGGACTCGGTGATAATATTGCTTGGGTCCTAATTTCTTTTTTTTTTTTTTTTGGTTTTTCTCCGGTACCGGGAACCGAACTCACAACCTTGCGCTTGCCAGGCAGGCGCTTTGCCGCTGAGCTAAATCCCCAGTCCCTTGGGTCCTAATTTCTGATAGTGACTGTACTGTAGTACTTAAGTCACTGCCCTTAGTTTTAGAAAAACTAGTATTAAGTATTATGGGACAGTGTCATGTCGATATAAATACTCTTAACTAGCTAAAAAGAAAAGTACAGTGACACGTACATATAGAATGGTGAGGTAAATATAGTAAAATGTTAACAATCGGGATACAAGAGTGGATGATATATGGTGACCCTATTTTTCCAACTTTCCATACAGTCAAGTTATTTCAAAATAGTAATTAAAAATACAGAATCAAAGTATACCCATTTCCTGATCCGCCTCGTCGGAGGGTGACTGTGAATCCTGCGGTCCTGAGGACTGTGCTGGAGAAGAAGCTGCCTCAGCGGTAGAATGACACTCCGCGTCAACCTCTCCTAACTCTCCTTCAATCATACCAGTGATTCCGCGCACGAGATCCAGCAAACAGTGGAATGCCACGGACATGGCATAGCCTTCCGGGATAGTCGGGGGCTCCACTTTGTCCAACATCTCTAGGCTGAAATTATGAAAAAATTAAAGTACTGGGAAGGCACAATCAAGAAATTACAAAAACTTTCCCACAATTTGTAGATTGCAGAAATTAAGACTGACAGAATAAAAACAATAAAGGGTTTGTTTTATTTGAAGGAGGTCTTTACGGTGTTCTAAGTAACCTGGAAAAATGAAGGTCTGACCCCTGACATAACTAATTATTTTAATATTTGACCTCTTGCTTCTCCCCAAACTTGCCAATATTTTCATTACTTGTTAATATCAGAAAAGTAAAGATATATACAAAACCTAGTAAGACTTGTATAAAGTTTTTCCAACTCTGACTTAGGTGGGTTGGATGTTGCCTGTTGTTTTTGTGGTATTGGGGACTGAACCCAAGGACACAGAATGAGTTATCCCAGTGAGCGGTACCTGCAGCCCATTTTATTTATTTATTCTTTACATTTTGAGATATGGTCTCACTACATTGCCTAGACTGGCCTAGAAATTACGATCCTTCTATCCCGGTCTCCCGACTAGCTGGAATTAGTCATACACAACTGCACCCGACTGACACAGGTGCTTGTAAAAGAAGGTGCTGTAAAATAAAATCAGCTGTACGAAGAGCAAGACGCTTTCACATTGGGGAAAAGCTTAACTGTGGCATATCCAGCTTAGCTATCACCTCACAAACAATCTGCAGCACAAACAACAGCGTCAATGTGTCAGGTCAAATGACAGAACATCTCCTACCTCACAGGAGACAGCTTTCATGAGGAAGGACAACAATGCTCTGTCTGAAGTCAGAACAAATAAATTACGCTTCTAAATCCCTTAACACTGTTTGTGTCAATACTGTAAAGAAGGAATAACTAAATTGGGAAAGAACTCATGGTACTGGGACAATTGATTCTTCACATGTAAAAGGGAGATGCTGGACTTCTACCTCATGCTACACCCAGAATTCACCCAGAAGGAATCAAAAATCTGTAGGAGACAAAATTGTAAAACTCCTGGAGTAAGACACAGACAAAAGTCATCCTGACCTCAGATCAGGCAATGATTTATTAGGTATAAGCACAACCAACAAGTAAAAATAAGATGAACTACTGCGCTTCAAATAGCACTATCAAGAAAATGAAAAGACAACTTGAAGAATGGGAGAATTGGCTATAATCAAAAAGATAAACAACAAATATTGTTCAGGATGTGGAGAAAGCTGAACCGTCACACACTGCTAACAGGAGTATAAATGTTACACTTGCTTGGGAAAACATTTTGACAGTTCCTCGTAAAGTTGAACAGTCATCAGGTGATCCAGCGGTTCTGCTCTGAGATACACACCCAAGAGACACGAAAACATGTCTATGGAAAAATATGCAGGCAAAAGTTCACGGCAGCGATATTCGTAGGAAACAAAAACTAAAAATAATCCAAATACGTCAAATGATGAAGAGATTAAAAAATGTGACATATCCATAAAGTATTGTTCAACCATAAAAAGGAAAAAAGTACTAATATACTACACCATGAATGAACTTTCAGAACATTATGCTACATAAAGGAAGCCTGATGCAAAAGGAGACTCATCACAGCACTCCATTCTGATGAAAGATTCACAACAGGCAAAATCAGTTGAGACAGAAAGTGAACAGTTAGAGGCTGGGAAAAAGAGGGACTGGGAAATGACTGCTAATGGGTACACAGTCTCCTTCCGGGGTAATGGAAATGTCCTGGAACCGGACTGTACGAATACTTGCATAACTTACAAGTACACGGAAACCCTCAAGTGAACACTGTAGAAGGGTAAATCTTATCGTATGTAAATTACCTCAGAAATAGAAGAGAAATTACTGAAGAATACAGTACGAAAAGCTAATAAAATTTCCCACCTTAAATTCTAAAAATCTCTCAATCATAACTAAGACTAAACAAAGTACAGAATTAATAAAAAAAAAAATGCAGAACTCAGACTAAGCAATAAGGGCACCTAAATACAGCAATCACTTATTGGGCAAACACTCTCAGCCTGATTCCATGTTGTGGAGGAGGCTGCATAGTCTCATTAAATCCTCACAAAAAACTTTAAATGACACAGATGTAGTTATTAATCATCGGTTTTTAACTCAAGCCTGACTAACTCTAAAGTTTATCCATTTTCACCACTTAAATGTGACAACTCTGAGTCTTTTAAAATTCAGGCAGTCATTAGAAATATATTTATATTATTGATCAAAAAACGGAATCTCAGATGGGGAGAAAAGTTCAGGAACTTAATCCTTACCACGCCAACTAGCCCTAGAAAGCCACATAGTAATAAACTGGTGCAAAGAATTCTGTTAGACAAATTTCTGTCCTCAGACAACACAGATTTATTTACATTGCTAAGAGTGTGTCTGTTAAAGTGACTAATGACAACCCAAAAAGACACAGACTCTATGAAGTTTTAATAAAGAAAAACTACTATTTCCATGTGTTTAACCCTAAAACTATGATGAGTTAAGTATTTTTGCAGTTCTTTTTCCTTCAATCAGATTTTATTGGTACATTTTAGATATACATAATGATCACATTCGTAATTTGTACCTGTACATGATGTAACTTGATTCTTTTTACTCTCCATTCCCCTCCCTGCCCTTCAACCCATCCTTCCCACACTTACAAAAGCTTTCTTTCCAATTTTTTTCCTTCTTTTCTCATTTTTAAAAACTTTTTCCTGATTAGCTAAATGTTTAAAATAACTTGCTTCACATATAAGATCAAAAAATTAGATATATTATTACTTCCATTTCATAGATGACAAAACAGATTTAAAAAAAATTAATTTGCCACAGGTAACTTGGTTAATATTAGACAACATAAATCCAAGAGGTCTGAAATCAAGTCCTTTACTCCAAAAAACCTGTAAGACAGCTGAACAGGTTTTTAGGTTTGAAAAAGGTCATACTTTGTTTTACAATATTAGCAGTCTACAAATAGCATACAAAAAAATCCAGTCCTAGAAAAATTCTCATAATATGACAGAAGAAAATGAGTTTTAGACTACTAGAAATGGTGGATCTAAAACTTAAAATATAATGCAGACAGAAACATCTTAGGATTCAATATCATCCCCAACAATATCATTCATTATAAAATAATGTGATCACTACTTACTAGGTGGCTTTAGCACTGCCTTGAACTGTTACAGTCAGAATCGGTATCCAAGTTCCTCTGTATTCAAATGCTGGTAGCAAAGTAACCCCTCCACCAATCCCCACCACTCCTGAGTTAGCTGGTGCTGACACTGGAACACCTGAATTATTGTTTCCTATTAAGTAACGGGGAAAAAAAGCAAAGATACCAATTTACCACTTGATTACAAATCATTCATATTCTTTTTTTTGTTTGTTTTTTTGTTCGTTTGTTTCCAGGACCAGGAATCTAACTCACAACCTCGCGCTTGCCAGGCAGGCACTGTGCTGCTGAGCTAAATCCCCAGCCCCCAAATCATTCCTATTCAAACACCTAGTTAATCTTCAAAATTTTTTTTCTGTACCGTGAGCCTAGTACACATACAAATGAAATGTATTAATCCTAATTTTCTTACCAGATAATCTATTCCCCTCAAATATCATTTCCTTTTTTGTATAAAAGCTACTAAAGTAGAATTATTAGGATTATGGCCAAATTTATGATTATTCTTTTTATTAGGCTTCTTTATCAAGGTGGAAATAAATAAAAATACAATCAATTCGAAGTGACAGAAAAGACAGTAAAGAGAAACAAATTATTTATACATTGATTCCCAAACTTAAACCCAGGTTAATGTCTTTTGTGTAAAGAGACACTAACAGACTTCCTAAGGTACTAACCATCTAGACTCTTTAAAGAAAAGAAGGAAATGGAGTTCTTTTTAGAAAGAACCACATCTCAACTTTTGTCCTAATGTTGTTAGAGGAACTGAAAGTACACCCGGGACAGAAATCTATTCCAGAACAGGAAATGTAGGTGCCACAGTGCTATCACATTATTTTTTGAATGTAAATCTTTATTAACACATCCAAATTTCTCTCGTCACATGATTTCTGGAAAACAGCCTCTCAGGAGATATCTCTTTACCAGCTTGGTTGGCTGTAGCAGGATTTCCAGTAGGCGGGACAAGAAACAAGGACTGGATGAAAGAGCCCAGTGCATTCACGATGTCACGGAAAACCTTGGTGGAATGCTGCTTCATATCATAGGACTGACAAAAGGACCTGAAAAATATTTTAAAACACTTCTGGGAAAAACATTTGCATGTATTAAAAATTCTTAACTTTTTTTTTTCACAGCAAGTAATGTTGCTAAAATAGCTCCAATGTTATCTACACGCAAAGATTCTTCAGCTCAGCTGAGTGATTTTACTAATTTAAGGACAAAGATTTAGAGTGAAGATAGCGTCTAAAAGAATTATTCTGGCTATTAAATAAACTCGGTGAATTCACATTCTGTCCCTTCCCCAGTGCTTTTACGTACCTCCCTCACACCCCTTTATATACATACAATGTATAATTTTCTTCATTTCAAAATCACCATTTGGGGAGAACAAATATCGAAACTCTTCCTACTAGTTTATAAATCTATGACTTTTCCTTTGAGCTTCTTAACCCATCTAGTTAGCAAAATTCTGCTGAGGTTTTACCTTAACAGCTGAGGCTGCACACACAGTCTGTGTATTGATTCTACTGCAACGGCTCGCAGCCACTGAGGTTTATCTGCATCCAGAAACTTCACCAGAAGGGACAGAAATATCTCACACTCAGTTACCTAGAAAGCGTAAGAGCGTTTATGTGTCTCTAAGTCAAAGAAAAGAATAATAGATTGTTTTCTTGCTATTCATTTAACGCAATGGACAAACCAATAAAATCTTTTAGATTTGAAATAAATTCTTAACAATGATTGGAAAAAATGGGAGTAGTTTCCCCTAAGTAGCTTTACTGTAAGGAAAAGTTAAGAGCAAAAATATTTCCACATATATCCCTGAAAACACTCGTGATCTATAACATGGTTAATCCTTTATCCTTACTTTTTAGAAAGCACAGTACACCATCTTGTCCCTTCTTCTAAAATTGCCAGGAAGCAGATATAATGCACACTGCTAACAGGACAAACACTCTACCCTTCAGGCATACCACCACGGCTTTTCTGTATTTTCTTTTGCTGATTAGAAATAGAGGTGATAAGCTAATATCTGGGCACCCATCCTAGTGATTCAGACCCAGCTCAGAGGACAGAAATGGGGAACAATTACACAGGTATAGCTCTACCTGAATGAGCTGGACATTTTAATTTCTTCTACTCACTCTAGGTAATAGTAACAGAACCAACCTTTGAATATTAATTACCCTTCTCTCTGAGCTCTTTACAAAGACAAGCTGGTGAATCCTGGAGAACAGGATTCTCTATGTCAGTGTTTCCCAAAGTATGGCTGCTGGATCCCTAGGGCTCCTTGAGACGATTCCCATGAAATTAAAATTATTTTTTGTATATGTGCTGCTGAAGCGAACACGAAATTATTTCCATAATAATACTATGATATGATTTGTCATCTTCAAGGTAGTGACATTTGACCAGACAGTACGAGAGCTATGGTGGATATAACAGATGGTACCTTAGCAGGAAATCAAAGCAATAAAACCAAACTGTGTGGGTACCATTGTATTCTTCACTACCACCTACAATTAAAATACATACATACTATCTAAATTTTATTTAAGAACAGCAAAAGTAAATAAAATATAAATTGTTGATTTTATTAAACCTGACCCTATGAGCAAGTTCCTCCTGACTTTACACGCTGACTGGTATTTCTCTATCTTACTTATTTTCACGATCTGGCCTACATTTTTAAATGTTTTAATTGTGAAAGTACACAATATGAAATTCACTGTCTTAGTGATATTCAAGTATGACAGAACGGGGAATTTGCGTGAAGCACTTTGGTGTGTATCAACGTAGACTGGAGGTCTGGAGAAACACAGTTGTGAACTGAACTATTTGCTGGTTTTCCCCTGTAGAACTTGTTTCTCTAAGACTGATTAGTGGACATGAAAAGAAAAAGGAGAATGTCTTCCTGTAGTCTTATCCCAATTTACTGTAGTTAAGCCAACATTACAGAAAGAGGAAGAAAATCCTTTTTAAGACAAACTAGCCAGTTCTTAGAGAACAAACAGGGAAGTGGTACGTAGAACGCCCCAGAACAGCAAATCCTCCTGAACATCTGACTACCGCATGGCCTGGCAATTATTTCACAGAACTGCAGCAACTACGTTGGCCCATGTGCTTCTCCTCTTAAAAATCTCCCCATTCCTCCTAACTTTCCAGGCTTATTGGTATTTCTATATCCTAATTATCTTTACTTTTACCTTCTTGCCTACATTTTTAAATGTTTTAATTGTAAAAATACACAATATGAAATTTACTCTCAATGTTGAACTGTATAGTTCAATAGTGAGTTAACTGTATTCGCACTGCTATGCAATAAAATTATACAACTATTTCATCTTGCAAAACTAAAATATAAACAAAAGCATGAGTCAAGAAAGGATGAAATATTATCTTTTTTAAAGATAAAACAACAACAATGAAGACAAAATCAAAACAACACAAAAACAACAAAAAAGATACATGACCTCAAAAGAGAACGACAAGAATTTACAATGGTTGCTACATTACATACTGCTATCTTCAATGAAGTTGCTCAGTCCACCAGATGTAAGAACGTAAGACTGATCAAACAATCAAAGACAGTAACAAGTAAAAAACAAAAACCAAAACAAAACAAAACTGAACCACTGGAAATGATGCAAAGCTTCACCATACAAGATGGTAGGAATTCAACTATGATTCTTATACTGCATATTGCTTTCAGATCAGTCATTCTGATTACCAGACACAACCAAATTGGTAAAGAAAAAAGAAAATTTTAAGCCTGGCTGTTTCTTTCAATAAAGCACCAGCAATACATGGAATGTTATCTTTAAAGTACCTGGAAGAATAGTGGTAAGTACTCAAAAAAAATTCTGAATTGCATTTTTAAAAGTAATAGATAAAGCACCATGTAAAGAAACATTATATACAATTATATACACAAAGTTATGGAAATCAGCACTTACCAAAAGACTGTAAAACTGCTTAATCAGAACAGACACTACTCTCAGCAAACGCATGCAGATAGGAAAATAGGGTTTCTCAACTGGAGCTGGGGAAGATGACGTGCTGGATCCTTGTCTGAACTTTATATTTGGAGAAAAGAGCTTTATCACAAGGGGACACACCCTCTCTTTGAGAAGGAAGCTAAATTCCTGGTGCTATTCATAAAGAAGAAAAAAAAGAATTTAGCTTGCACTTAATACACTTAAAACACAGTCTCACTAACAAATACAACTAACCAGCATAAATTTACTTAATTTTAAGTTTATATATTTATATTTTATAACTGTGAAATTCATATTGCTCTTAATTATTCCACAAGTTGAGGAATTTTGTAGAGAACTCTTAAATCTCATGTACATTGTCACTATATATTAATATATTATGCAGAAAGTCTTCCTTAACCTGTGCATTCCGTCTGTATTAGCTAAAAGCACAGTTTCACTTTAGTGACGAGATAAAGGCTTAGTCTGCATTTAATATTTACCTGTTGTTTCAATCATTTAAATTTCATTGAAGCTAAAAATAAAAAATCATAAAAATCACCCACAATCCTTTAATCTTAAAAGGCAAGAAAGTCAAAGAGTAGTTTGTTTGCTCAAAAGCAAAAGTTTTCATTTTTTTTACATCTGAAAACGTGAGAAAATACGTAACTAATAAAAGCAAGTGCTGCCTGATCTTACCTCCTGCACACAAGCTAGTCATTTTAACGTCTGCTGCATACCCTTCCAGACTTTCCTATGTTTTAATGTACTTTTAACTCTTTCCCCTCAAACAGCTATTGAGAGTTAAGTGACTTGAAATTCTGTCTTCACATCTGCAGTCAGTTGGACCGCCAAACTTCAAGGTATAGTTAAGTGCATTTTCATACATCACAAAAATAATTTTTATGTATTAATATGTAAGTTTATAGAACGTTTTTTCTTTTCTAATGAAAAACTACATCAAAATTTCCTAACCAAATAAGGAGACGAAGACTACACTATGCACGCTCTGCGGAAGAACAAGACCTAGTCCTCAAGAGCTGTCTCTGTTCTCCGACCCCTCACGCCCCGACCCGCTAAGGCTGCTTTTCACCACCAGCAAGCGCTTCCCCAGTCACCTGACCTCTGGCCGACCTCATCTCAGAGCTGTTCTAAGCATTTAATGCAGAGGATTACTTGGCTGAAAATTTTCTTTGTCTTTTACTCTATCACACTCCCTCTCAGACTTGCTCCTGCTTCTCTGGCCGGCCGTTCCTGACATTCCGCGCATGCTCGTCCCTTCCTGCCCAGTGCCGTGACCACGGAGGTCCGCGGCGCTCCCGACCCCGAGGCCTGCTTTCTGGTCCAGGACCTCACGCCTGCCCCTTTACATAGCAGTGAGCGCCAGCAACGTGGCGGTTTGTAATTCTGGCCTAAAACCCCAAACGCAACTAACGTCTTGAGTGTCTCACAGACACCTCAAAAGGAGTACATACAAAACTGAATAATCTATTTCACATAAAAATTCTGTCTACAGTGTATTTCATATCAGCAAATGGCTTGCTGCTCAAGCTAGAAAGCCAGAGTCATCTTTGAAATTGCCTTTTGCATCACCCAATATTTTATTTATTTATTTACCAATTAGTTAACCCTCTGTGGTCATAGTTTCCTCATCAGTAAAGTTGGATAACTGCTACTTTTTAGGTATTTGGAAAAATTCAAGAGAATATTGTTATTCTATTATTATGATTATTATTTCACAGAAAAGACTACTGGACAAGTTATACCTAAATGCTGCATATTGTATTATATGAAATGGAATCACCAGTAAATACTGCTCGATATTATGAAAAGCAATTAGCAGCTGCCAAATGTGTACCAAAAATCATAAACCACATAAAAATAACTTCGGTTCTAAGACCCCAGTCAAACGGTCTTACACCTTACGGCACGGAGTCATATAAGCTGTAGGCTGAGAAGGAAGGGTAAAATGGATTACTCAGAGAGGGACAGAGTGCGGTAGCGAAGGGGCTTTTAGTATTCAAAGACCTGAATTTTATTTAAAGAGCAGAGAAAGGGCGTATGTGTCCATCTGGCACCACCAACCCAATGAACTTGGTGAGCGACAGTATCTTCCAAGGTGTTTACGGCAGAAGCACTGCCTGACTGGTAGCGCCCCTCCTACCCAACAGCCACTCTACCATTATCTAAGCAAAAAGATGCTTAAATAGATGACCTACACTGGAGCCTCTGGCATGACAAAATAAAGGTTTTAATACCTTCTTGCTTAAAACGATAAAGATATGAATTATAGTTCAAGATCTCCTAATAACTAAGGGACTTACAGAGGTTACAGAATCAATTCTGGATGTCAGCTTTTCACGTAAAATGAAATGTCTGAACTCATCATTCTTTTTCCCCTATTTTCTGTTTTAAGATATTTTGTATTATACGTTACATTCACTAGTATTAACTACGGTTGTCCATTAGGTTATCAAAAAACACACAGCTACTGCCAGCTGAAGGGCTGTGTGCCTATAGCTCCAGCTAGCTGGAAGGCTGAGGCTGCAGGATCACCTGAACCTAGGACTCAGAGGCCAGTCTGGGCAACACAGAACAAGATCCTATCTCAAAAAGCTAAACAAAACAAAACCCACACAAGTACATATAAACAGGTAAAAAAAAAAAAAAATCAGTAATTCTTTTTTGCTTTTTTTTTTTTTTGGTTTTTCTCCGGTACCGGGAACCGAACTCAGGACCTTGCGCTTGCCAGGCAGGTGCTTTTGCCGCCTGAGCTAAATCCCCAGCCCCAAAAACCAGTAATTCTTTCAGGGTTTAGATATAAAAACAGCTCACACACATTTCTCTGACAGACCCATAGACCAGGAAATGCCTAACTAGATAAAGTCTCTAGGGATTTCTTCTAATGTTAAAATTTCAAGATGTTAAAGTCCTAAAAATGGGAAAAGAAGCAGTACATTACCATACGTCTACAGTCTAAGGCTGTCTTTGCATCTTTTGATGTGGAAAAAAAAATACATGTTGCTTTCTTGAAAAATATTTGTGAAAAAAATTAAAGATCAATTTTGTTACAAGACAGTAGTGGTGGCTTACATGTAAAAAGACTTGTGGAAAATCATTGAGGACTGACTCCAGCAATTCGAGACCAAATGTCCGGGTCATTTCCGTCATGCCCACGAGCCAGTAAGGGGCATCAGCGTTAACCAACTGACAAAGGTCCTGGGAAAATAAACAATTTCATGTGCTACAGTGAAATATGCTTTTCAAAGAAATCCTCTTCATCAGAAACAATATCAGTAATTCAAAACTGTACACTTGATAGATTATACAAACTTCTATAGAAACATGCAACTACTGACACTGTGTAAACAGATGATCTCCCTTAGAAGTGAGGAATACTACTTTATCCTGTTCATTAGCTATACAGTAAATATAGAAGCTGTTCTTTCATCTTTCATAAATATTTAAACATTGCTTCTACATTTCTAATTCTAAAGTAAAACTTAAATCAGACAAATTCAAAATAAAAAATTAAACAGTAAGAATTAATTTTAGAAATCAAACATTCACACAAGCTGTAATAAAGTTGCTCTGTTAACTAAAGTACCTGGAAGAGCATATACGCGTCTTTCGCACACGGTTTGAGGGTGCTGACGGACCTCCTGTTACTGTTGCCCTGGGCCAGTACTGGTTGTTCCGGATTATCTACAAGCAAAACGGGACAGGTTTAAGAGCTCATCAGGGCTTTGATAAAGTATGCATTTCATTCAAAAGGTATGGTTAAAATACGTGTTTAATTACAAACCTTGGAATTTCTCAACTATATCTTCAAAATAAAATAATGAGAAACTACTTTATACAAATGCCATAAACACTATTCAACATGTTATATTCACTTCAATAAGCTTATAAAAGCTTTGTCTTTGTCCAATGCATTTGCTTTGCCCAGTTTCCCATTCATCAACCCCTTTATCTCATGGATATGAACGTGACATGATCTTTGAAAGTGCCTTTAAATATCAAATATATAAAAGTGTATCATATTATGAATTCCTCCACCATCTCACTGTCTTCAAACAGCAGAATGAACGGCTTGATCTGCCATTCTTACGGTGTCAGTAATAGATACTCACTAGCTAAGTCAGCTAGAATGGTACTTCCCAACTCAGCATTTTTTCTTTACTAACAAAAAAGATAACTATCTATAAATTATGACAACTGGTTTGCAATACTAATTCTTTGAAAAAGCCTTTTTGAAAAAGGTTGTAGGCACTTTTTACTCCTTCTTGTTAGTATTTTGTGGTATTTTACCCTTTAGAGAAACACAGCCGAAACCACCAATCCAGGAATTATATTGAGGTTATGAATATATAAGACATTCAAACTGAAGAACTGTCCTATTTTTATATAATTTTGAATATTTTAACAAAATGTGCTAATCTCTAAGATTAATTCCTTAACGTTTCAAATTACAATTCCACTTGCAATTTTTCTCAGACAAATATAGAAAAATCATACACCAAATCTAATCAATGTTTAATTTCCATAAAAATAATTATTTGAGTAGGCACCATTACCTACTACTATTGCCAGTTTTTACAATATTGCCAAAAAATATCAAATTCAAAAGACTATGTAATATCAGGGAGTTTTTAAAAAAAATGTGAGGGGGAAAAATAGTTAAATATTTTCTAGATTGTTTATTACTGTAGCACCCTGATCTTCAAATGATCAGGGGCAAAGTTACTTTTCATCAAATAAAGGCAAAAACTGAAAAAAAAAAATTTCTACAGCAACGGAAAGTTATCAAATTAATGAAATTATAACATGTCAGAATGGAATATCTGTCAGTTCTCTGAAATGACAACTTTTCTAGTTTAAAAAGTTTTAAAAATTATAAGAAAGGTATTTACTAAAAATATAAAAAGATTACTCTTTACAACATATGTTACCTGTTCAGTGAAAAAAATATATTCAGGAAGACACTCAAACAGCTTAAAATATAAAACACCACCTGAACACCCAACAGACTTGTTCATTTAATTACTGAACAGCTATGAAATACAATGCAACTGCTACACTTCAAATTATGTGGCTAAAGGAAGTAACAAAAAATTCACAGAATGTAATGTTTGACTAAACTGTGAAGTTATCATGAGCAGAAAATTATGCATATATAGAAATGAACATGGAGATGCAGTTACTTTTTAAAGTGATAAAACTGTGACTTAAGGAAAAAACTTTCCAATACTAATAATATTCTTTTAACATTTTGTAAGTCTTCTAGTGTTTAGGTATTCTAAGTTCATTGGGCAAAGGCTGAAAATTAATAAAAATGAAACCATCCAAGGAAGAATCACCCACAGTTAAAAAGAAATCGTTTGATCACTTCACCTTTGTGGCGTTCATCTTCGGCGACCATTCTCTCAAAGACAACAGTAACAACCTGGCGCACTGTGGCAGCGGCTGTATTATTTGTGATGTTATCTTTTGTGAAGTGCAGGCGAAAACAAAGCACGATTGCCTAAAAACAGTTTCCATTTAGTGTGAAATAAGATCGAGGCACATGCCTACTGTTATTTTCATCACATGTAACCTACACTTAAGTGATTACATTTGATTCTTTCACAGACTTTAAAGGTCCTACATTTTTACACAATAAAGCTAAGAATCTCTCAGATTTTAAAGTAATTCACTCTCAGCTAATATACAGCTATGTAAGATTAGCTTAAGTAACATGAAATATCTCTTAATATTTTAATACGCATAGGATAATGTGTTGTGCTTTTACTTTCCCCAAATGGCTTGCTTTGCAAATAGCAAGCAGTCAAATCTGTTCTATCGATAAACCATTTGAAGCAGTGCTATATGAACTGCTAAGCATACACATAAAATACTATTTCATAATACGAGTCATTCATTTTCTCCTTAAATTCAACTGAGATAAAATTTCCATAAAGTAAATTGTACCTTTACAAGCATATAATTTGGTAAGTTCTGGCTAATATATTGTACAACGAAAATATGGACACAGAAGTGACACGGGGTATCTCCCATCTCCCAGAAGTGCCCTTGGGGACATTTACGATACATCTCCTCCTCCACTGCAGGCCATGGAAACCACTTAGCTGCTTTTTTCACTACAGCTTAACCAGCATTTTGTACAATTTTACATAAACAAATCCATTCGGTATGCATTTTTGTGTGTCTGTCTTCTTTCACTCAGAAGAGTATTCGGGAAATTCACCTGCTAGTCTATTGGTAACTTATATCCTTTTTATTAGTGACTACATTTCACGGTGTGAGTACACCGGAACACTCTGCTTATCTGTTTGCCTACTATAGACATCCGGGGAGTTCTCAGGTTTGGGCTGTGAATGAAGCTGCTATAAACGCTGCAAGGACATACGTCTTCATTCACACTGAGTAAACATCCAGGAGAAAAATGGCTGGGATACACAGTAAGATGAGTTTGACTTTCTAAAAAACTATCAGTTCCCCAAAGGAAATTTACACGTTGACATTCCTGTCAGTAGTATATATGAGTTCAGAATTGTTTATATCCTTCAGGATACTTGATATGGTCATCTTTTTAAGTTTTAACTATTCTAATGGATATCAAAATAACAATAACTCCTGTGGGTTGGAATTTACATTTCACTGATAAGTTTTCACAATGAGCCTCTTTCTATGTGTTTGTTCATTTCTGAATATTTTATTTTGTGAAGTATCTGTTGAAATCATTTGTTCATTTCTTAGTTGTCTTATAAAGTAATTTTAACAGTTCTTTATATAGTACAGATATATATCCTTTGTCACATATTTGTGACTATTTCCCTCCATTCTGAGCTTTTTTTCAAATTCAGATTCTATAATCTTCATATCACAAAGATTTTTCTCCTGTGTGTTCTTCTAACTACTGTACAGTTTGAAGTAGGTGGCAATGCCTTAACCGTATGCGTGTTGTCAGGCCCAAGGGCCTCTTCCATCCTTGTCAAGGGGAGTGCTAAACCTTCTCTCCTTTCATACAACACCCACTGTACAGTTTGAAAATAAGCCATTCTTGGGGCTGGGGATTTAGCTCAGCGGCAAAGCGCCTGCCTGGCAAGCACAAGGTCGTGAGTTCGGTTCCCGGTACCGGAGAAAAAGCCAAAAAAATAAAAAAATAAAAAATAAGCCATTCTTGAAAAAAAAATTAATGGCAGTTAGATTATATGCCTTATAACTTTAATTAAAAATGTTACAGAAAATAAGCCTTTGATACAACAATTACTCTTTATATTTCAATATAAAGGAAAAGGACGTTCAATAATTATACATAAATTTGCGTAATGCTCAATTTTGGGGTTTTGCTTGTTTGTTTCTTGAGAAAGGGTCTCGCTCTGTATAATTCAGGCTGGCCTTAAACTTACTATGTAGCCCAGGCTGGTCTCGAACTTGTTGAGATCCTTCTGCCTCAGCCTCCTGAGTGATGGGATTACAGATGTGAGCTACCATGCCCAGCTGTATGTTTTCTTTTTTAAAAAATTTTATTTATTTATTTAGTCTTTTTGAGACAGAGTCTCACTGTACAGTTCAGGCCAGCTGTGAGCTCACTTTGTAGCCCAGGCTGGTCTCGAACTTGCAATGATTCTCCTGCCTCAGCCTCCTGAGTGCTGGAATTACAGGTGTGTGCTACCACACCAGGCTCTGTATGTTTCCTTTATACCTAATTTTCATCCTCAATTATTTCGGTTTCAATTAGCTAACCTACTAAAATAAATCCTATAGTCAATTCTTAATTGCTGTCATAGATCACCTAATAATCATCTATAAAACCTTAAATACTTGTATCAGAACAGTCATTTCATATACAAACCAAGAGGAACTGTATGTAATGAAATGCATACTGTATAAAACACTCCAACATTTGTATATAGAAATATGAGCTTAAAAGAATAAATTATTTGCAATTAAGTAAAATCTTATTGACCTAAGGACACCCATCTCACTTGAGATAGCACAGTGTTTGATGTAACAGTGTGCTTCTCTATTTTACAGGCCATCCACCCTTCAAAGCATGCAAGTTATAATAAAACTATTACTAAAGGTCCAAAACATTTCTTACGGTGACTCACTAAGACCATTCCCTAAGCTATTCTTTCTTTTGTTCTTCAGGAATACTTTGTAATTTAAATTTTTTTATAAATTTAAATAAACAGAACTGTTACATGTTCCAAAGAGGCGGGAGGGGGGCTGGGGATTTAGCTCAGCGGCAAAAGCGCCTGCCTGGCAAGCGCAAGGTCGTGAGTTCAGTTCCCAGTACCGGAGAAAAACAAACAAACAAAAAAAACAAAGAGGCAGGAGGAGGGAAGAAATGAGCAACGGCTATCACACGTGCAGCTTTCCCAGTAAGAACGCAGAAAGGAACCTTCTCCAGCCATTTAAGAGGCAGATTTGAACTGCTTGGTTTACATAACACCCACATAGGAAATTCTTTGTATTTTTATTTTGTTTTTGGTACCAGGAATCAAACTTGGGACCTTGCACTTGCTAGGCAGGTGCTTGTACCACCGAGCAACTGCTCGGGCCCTGAACTTATTTTTAAGAGAAGGGAGAGCTATCCCAGGGGATCTAAACTGCCCAGAGCAACACCACACAACACATTTCCCTCTTCCTGCATCCTGACTCTTCCACACTTTTTCTCTTCTATTTCCTATGCATAACTAAACCCATCAGCCGCACCCACGGGGCTCTGAAAGTGATCCGAACTCTCGTCTGGAGAAAGGCGCCAGTGGCCATTACCGTGAAGCGCTCGTCATCACCACGGCTACCGGGAAGCTGGGTTTAGTCCCAGCACCAGGCTTTCCTCTTTGAGCCAGCTTATTCACATACTTCTGAAAAGCACTTATACACGCTGACAAACAGGACTCCTACCTTAGAAAGCGCCTCATCATGAACTACTGTATTGGTTGTTAAAAGAACAAGAACTGTTTGGAGCAGCTTAAGTTCTTCGAGACTATTTTCCATGAGTTGCCAAAGCATGTTAATTATATTCCCAGCAGCAGTCTGTAAAAAAATTTTAATTATCATCAACAAATAAAATATAGGTGTTGAGGTTCCCAAATAAGAAAAGGTGCACACAGCTTGCCTCACCTGGAGGGAATTTCATGATCAGAGCAAAAACAAAAAATAGAACACATACTTTAAGCTCCACAGATCCGAACCCATGTCTCAACTAATTTAAGACTTGCAACCAATTTTCTTCTTGAAAAAAGTATCTTTAAAGACGCAGTACAGCAAATAGTAGCATGCAGTTCTAAAATACCTAGCCAAAAGTCAAAGCTCGTGTCTACAGTAACATGGGCTTTTCCCCACTCGCATGAGTATTACAGACATACACAAATGAACTATGTGCTCACTATTTCTTACATACCACTTCACTTATAGTATGTTATAGAACATGAAAAGCAACCCAAATTAACAATACACTGTACAGCCAATTAAAACTGACACTGTTTAGGGTACTAATGAAGGGCAGAGTAACTGGCCACTTCTGTAATAGTACCTTAAAGAGTACAAAGTTAAGAGGAAATCACTAAATTTGTAAGCAAGATGTAGGTCCTTGGTAATGAAATATTTTTTCTTGTTTTGCCATTATCAGCAAAGACACAAACATTTCAGTTAATGAACAATACATTATCACTATGGATCATCTAGAAAAGCCCTTATTCTCCCACCCATCTTTTGAAAATATTATGCGCTATATTAGATAACTACTGAATAATACTGAAAATTGGCTTTATTCCACACTTATCAATTATATTAATGAACTGTGACTTCTCAGATAAACTGTATTTTATCTTTATTAATTATGAGTGCTCTAAGATGAGAAAAGCTGACAGTATTTTCTTTCCAAGTCATTCATTTTATTTATTTTTTAAATCAGATTTTATTCGTACATCTTAGATATATATAACGATCACCTTCATTGTACAGAATTTGTACCTGTACATAACTAATATTTTAAAATTAAGCTATTTTCTTCAAGTGCATTGATATTCATAAAACTATTTTACATAAAGCTATTTTTCATTCTTCCCTATGAAAGCAGCTGATCTGACTCCTACACGCAGTTCAGACGAAATCTGCACATTACCTCAGACACAACTTCATGGGACATGAGCCTCTGGATGGCAGCCAGACAGAGCTGAGTGATCTTCGGTTCCTTGGTTCCACAACCCATCAGGAAAGGCTGTACAACCTCAGAGCTGTTTTCCTTCAGTGCTTTATTTAGAACACAGAGAAGATAAATTATCACATCTAATTCATAATTAGAAGTACATGTCATATAATTACAACCAGTGACAATCAATAAAAACCACCTTATATAAAACAGACACCAATAAAAATCAAGTAACAGGAGTCAAAATACAGTCCACATACAGTCCACACTGTGATCTGAACTATACCCAGTGACTAAAGCTTTCTCATGCCCTGGCCTAATACTCGGTCCTTTGTTTCTTCTTTATCTTCTGCTATAACCTCTTTAAGGATATGTATTCCCAACAGTTCAGCGAAAATCAATGTTTCACACAGCGCTGGAGGGAAAATAAACAGGAATTCATACTCTGGATCATCAAGAGTAATCAAAAATAGTGTATCTATCATCCCTTCCATACTTGTGAAAGAATATTCAGAAACTCCCTAGAATGTCATTAGATGCCTTGAATTTGCATAGTTCTAATTTTTTCTTCAAGAAATAAACAGATCTCCTTTAAAACAATAGCTTTTCTGTTCTTAACTGGTCACACACACTGTAATTTCAAATTGCAAACTCCTTCTAGCAAAGGAATCAATTCTCTGAGAAATTTTAAAGGGGCAAAAGTTATAAAGACATGTAAGTCTGAGTTTTTCCAGAGAAAATGAGTCACCTAGAATGACCATTAAAAGGGAAAACCAGTATTAACAGTTTTATTGTTTCAATACCACCTTTCTTCTCCCACAGCTCTCTTGATGGGATGGTAAAGTAGGACTCCAACTCCCTACAGCACGCTGCAGAAGACCCTTCCTTCAGTAAGCCAGCACGACCCTGGTCCAACAGCAAAGGCTCGCCAAGTACGACTGACAAGGGGCAGCTTCTCCAGAAGAGCTCCCTCTCATTTCCTTGCTTTCTCGCACACACAAGTTTTAACTCAAACCCAAAGATATAAATTTTCCATAACAAGGACTCAAAACATTGATGTGAATGATGAAATGTCACTGTAAAGCCAATCGTAAAGTTTTAATAAAGTGTTAAATATCCGGTCTAAGGCTACCCACACCTATCTCTGTTGAACACAATGTTGTTCAGGCAAATTAAAATTTTTCAGTAACAACAGGTATATTTGTAATTCATGACATGAGCATGTGTTTCTCATTTAAGCATCACAATATTCTTGCAGTTTATAGGGTATGATCTGGCCCCGGTGACTCAGTAAGTAGGTGGTAAAACCAGAATGGGGAGGTAAGTCTTCTAATTACTGGTTCGCTCCTTCCCAACACTACACTGTCAGTCTTTAAAGTAAATAACGTACTGAAGATAATGGAAATTAAGAGGGGGCTCAATCATCTGCATTTTAAAACTATCTGTCTGAACTCCAGATAAATAAAGGGTCATTTAAAAAAATGTATTTTCTTAAGAGTGTAAGAGGCCAATGACTTCAAGATATACTTGCAATATAAAAAAAGAAAATCAATGTGAATTAAACAACGAGAATGCTATGTAATCGTCTAGAATTTTTCTTCACAATTTCATCTTCTATACCATCAAGAGCTTGGGAATATCTTATTTCTTGAAAGAAAACTTCACCATTGTTTCTGAGATTTTCTTCTAAGCCAGTGACAACCATTCTGCATTTTTTGATGCTGGTATGTTATCTGGTCTTACGTTAATCAAGTTTTTGACAACTATGGTGACAGCTGAAACAGCAACTAAACTCAATACATGTGGTCATAAGAAATGCACGTAACTCAACAGGTGTGACAATAATATGATTAAGTATGAATCCATTACACACACACACACACACACACACACACACACACACACCAAGAAAGAAAACTACACTAGTAATCAGCCCACGGTGATTCCAAGGTGACATGTAAGATGCATGCCACTGTAGGGGATACTAGAGTTGATAAAAACTGCATCTTAGATCAATAAATAAAGTGCATCATAGTGAAATATTGTATACATGTCCATTATAGTTAGGTCTATCATGGTGAGATAAATTTAAAGTAATAATGATTTTTAAAATTTTTACTTTAACATAAAGGGTTAAAACATGTATCTCTATTTTTTTCCCATCCAATTTATATAAGAATTTAATGATCAAAGGAAGACGTTTTTGTTATTCTAATAGATGATACAAAGTAAGTGATGTATCTATTCTACATCTTTTGAAGCACAGTTTCAAAAAGAAAAATATGTGAATCACAGCTCAGCAAGAGAAAGATCGGAAGAAGAAAAAAGTTACTGATGTGTTTTGCTTTTTTCAAATGGAAAAGTGTCCAGCAAACTAAAATTAATCTGACTCTTCTGAGTACAGTATATAGTCACTCTCTATATATAATAATTGTAATGATATGTCATTTAAGGGTAGTCTTATGTAAATGCCTTCATGGGAGAAGAGACTTCAAAAAGCATGTTGAGGAAAATACTCTACAGCAATGTAAAGACATCTGGCATTAACCATTTTATATGTCCTTCCAGAAAAAAATAGAAAAGGTTGACTTTTTTAAAATCAAAATTCTCTAATTTAGTTTCCATCAAAATATAAGAATAGGTTTTGGTGGGAAGAAGAGAAAAAGTTTGTTTTCCACCTAAGTCCCTTAAGATGCATAACTCTGTAACACAGTAGCACTGTGTGTGACATATGTTGTACTTCTACATTATGTAACTGTGAGAGCAAATGATACTTTCACACACCTGGAAGAGATCCAACAGGTCCCCATATCCTGGGGGTTTCCTTGCTCTGAGCATTTCCACTGCATAATTGCAGTTTTTATCCTGAAAAAAAAGAATTAAACTAGGATACCCCACTATAAATCACATTAACAGGGGTTAATAAAAGTTTCATTGTGATTGATTTTAACAGGTATTAAATAAAATTTTTAATTCTTACGAAAGAAATAAATGCGACTTAGACATTACTTTTATCTTCAAAATGCCTAAAATCTGGTTCCCAGGGAGACTACTATTTCTAACAACATTTAAAAATTTAATGGATTCAAAAGGTCCAAAAATATATTCAAATGATAAAAAAAAAAAAAGACAGCAAACAACTGAAAGTATGGGCAGTTTTTTTTCAAAAGCACCCAGAAGAAAAAACAATGGTTATTCCACAAATGATGTTTGAATAATTAGTTCTGCAAAGGAAAAGTTCACATCACTCTGTACACTATACAGGAAAAAAAAGCCACAGGAAAAAAAGCCACAGGAAAAAACTAAAAACAAAACAAAACGAAACAAAAAACACCTACAAACTATGGAGAAGGAGAAGGACATCTTAAATGTAAAGCAACAAAAGAACTCAGAAAAATCGGAGTATTTAAAAATGAAAAGACCCTAGACGTAAAACTTAAAAGGTGCATGACCTGGGGAAAATATGACATAAACATGACGGGAAGTTAATATTTTCACTATATAAATAACTCAGCCTGATAAGGAAAACAAGAATGTAAAGAAACGAATGAAAAAAGAAAATAATTTAATGCATACAAGTATGTTCAATGTCAAAAAGAACTGTCAGTTAAAGTGAGAAGTCTACCAGTACAGTGACCAAAGTTTTTTGTTTTTTTAAGAATAATCCTGACAGCTATGTATTTTGCCTTATCTCTTGATGTTCCCCCAAAGCCTCACGTGGTCGTAGTTGGAGCTTTTCACAGGTGCCTGGAGCTAGCGTGTGATGCCAGGATTAAGGATGCGATGCTGGGACTGATTCATGGTGTGGTGCTAAATTAAGGCTGCCCAACCCGAGGGAGGTGGGTAGCATGGATAGAGTATAAGCGACAGAGACAGAGCGGCTGTTATCACTGCTTGTCCCTTGCTGCTTCATTACTTTGCTGCTTTGCTGCCTGCTGCCCGCCACGAAGTCTCTCCTCCTGATGTACCTCTGCCATGCCACCCTGCCTTTCTGCCAGCCAAGTATAGACAAAACCTTTGCTGCCTTAACTTGGGGTGTCAGGTATTTTGTTTCAGCACTGAGAGAAGTAACTAAAGATAGTATATTATAACACAGTCTCTTATTGTTACTAAAGGTATGAACTTTCACCTTTCCAGAAACAAATCTGGTAAAACATTCCAAGAACTCCGCACATATTCATATCCTTTAACTTTATAGCTCTGTTTGTAGACATTTACCATAAAGAAATGATTCTAAATACCAAAATACACCTAAAATAAAGGCACTGCAATCCATTGGCCAAAATATGGAAGAGCAATTGAAAACATTTTAAAAGGTGGTATCAAATGTTTGTAACAAGCTAATTAAAATTTAAAACAATCCAGGGAAAAAAATGAATAAATAAAAGCACATCATATTGTAAATAAACTGTAATCTCTCTGGCCCAAGAGGTCAACGTGTTATTGCCCATGGCTTCTAGTCTGCATTATTGAAATACCTTCCTAATAGATCTCTGCCTTAATGATAGTGTAGTTTAACTGTATCTTCCATGGTGCTGTCACCAGAATTTAAAAATACAAATATAAATATATCCCTCCCTTGATTTAAACTTTTTCCACGAGCTGCTCAAGACATCACGTAGTGCCCTTAATGATCACTGCAGCCATTCCTTCACACTTTATGGTCACGCAGTTCACGGTGTGTCCAAGTCACCCCAGCATGTTGTTCTGTAACGCCTGTATTTGTTCAAGCAGCCCACATCCATACTTTACTTGCCTGGCTAACTTCTCTTCAGGCGTTAAGTCTTAGCTTCAGATTCCCAAGGCAGACCAAGTCTCTTCCTTACGTTCCTATAACAGTCCTACTTACACTTCCATCTTGGCATTTACCACACAGAATTAGAATTCTGTACTTAGGGTCTGTCTCCTTCATGACTGCTATGTGGCTGTAAGCAACTAAACATGACAAAATTCATGGAGGCACAGAGCTATAACATGTAAAATTAAAAAGAGGTTTAGAAACATGGCAAGAAGCAGTACTAAGCGTGTTATATCGTAATATGATTCACTTATCAGCCTATCATTAATGAGAGTGTTATTATATCCCATGTAATGTAATGACAATGGTAATATAATATTGGTAATATAATAATACTGTAATAACATTGGTAATGTAACAAAGAACATGAGATTGACTCTAATTTCAAGGAGTTTGTAATCTGGAAAGTTTCTGGCAAAAGACTGCAAATGAAAGAGCAAGTAAATCAAACAGAAGGAACAGCATCAACATACTTGTATAAATTCCATATACTTTGGATGGGTGAATTACACTGCCCACCTTACTAGCTCCCTTACTGATTGTTACATAATTATTTACTTACTAAGAATATACTGTATGATAAATTATGTAGCTGTTTGTAAAATATCACAAGTTCATGTACTGGTAAGATAGAATATACTACAATAACCAGGTAAATTACCTTTTAGGTCAGAAAAATCCCAAAGTGTATTTACTCACTGCTAGTTAAATTAGAGACCTTTTGGTTGTTAAGACTATGTAATACAGAAAAGATGAGAGAAAAACTACATGAGGAAAGAACAGAAACCATGCACAATGACCCTCATGTAAAAATTCTCTACTATACTGACGGCAGCCAAAAGCAGCCGTGAGCAGGCTTAACTGTTACGGTTTTAGGTAAGGGTTAAAGGCACAATTTTAGAAGATTACAACATTGCTGATATCCTTATTATGAACACACATTCAAAGAGTAGATTATGTAACTTTTGTATGGCACACACCTTCTCGATTTCTACTACACTCTAAGCTAGGATAATAACAATTTGTAATATATAGCAGTCAAATGTAAGTTTAAGGCATTTGGCCTTGTAAATAAAAAACTATGTTGTCATCACTCATTTAGAGTTTTCTCGCTAAAGAAAAAGGAAATTTTGAGGTAATGATTTGTGTATCTAAATCGCTGCTGACATTACCTGGCATAGCATTTCCACTTATGTCAGCATTCATGACAGCAGTGAAAACAAAGAAAAATACACATTAAAGGAAGATGCTTGAAAGAAGGGGAGACGTACAGCAAAAATTCATCCTGCAATGTAAATGATTTTCCAATGGAAAATAAATCTAAGAAAACTAAAGTTGGCTAAAAGTCTCTGAATATCAGTAATTAGTTGATCCTAAATAAGGATTCTGAATTTTGCAATTCTTTATATTTTCTGAATATACCGAGACAGATGGGAATTCAATGTCTCACCTCACTGAGACACCACAACTGTTTGGGATCCATTATACCACAAAAACTAAGTCGGGCATGGTGGCACACACCTGTAATCTCAGTACTTGGAAGGCTGAGGCAGGAGGACTGCTGCAAGTTCAAATCCAGCTTGGGGTAGTGAGTTCAAAGCTAGCCTCAACAACATAGCGAGACTCTGTCTCAAAAAGAAAAAAAAGTACCCTATAGTTTCACGTATTATAAAGAAGTAAATAAGCTGGGCACAGTAGTGCATACTTTTAATCCTAGCATTCGGGAAAACTGACACAGGAGGAACACAGGTTCAAGTCCCACTTGGCCATGTTAGCAAGACCTGTTCTCAAAATAAGGAAATTTTAATAAAGGGTTGAAGATGTGGCTCATTGGTACAGCACCCTCTGGGTTCAATCCCCAGTAGCATCAAAAAAGTAAATATTTTTTAAGAAATAGTTAACTATAAGGGGCTGGGGATTTAGCTCAGCGGCAAAAGCGCCTGCCTGGCAAGCGCAAGGTCGTGAGTTCGGTTCCCGGTACCGGAGAAAAAAACCAAAAAAAAAAAAAAAAAAAAAAAGAAATAGTTAACTATAATTTTTTCTCAGTATTCACTTCACTGAGTTAATGATGTAATTTAGAAACTAAATAATGAATAATTTTAACCATTTTTTAAGAATCTTTGATTTTTCAAGTGATCTATTAATCTGTGTTCTTTAGATTATCTATATGCTTTAGATTATAAATTGGTATAGATATCTGTTTAAAAATAGTACAATGGGGCTGGGGATTTAGCTTAGCAGCACAGTGCATGCCTGGCAAGCGCAAGGCTGTGAGTTCAATTCCTAGTACCGGAAAAAAATAAAAAAATAAATAAATAAAAATAGTACAATAAAGTTTAAATGCTAGTAACTTCCTCACATACATGGGTCTGGAGATTAACACATAAATTATTGTATGTGCTTAAAAACATGTTCTAGCCAGGTATGGTGGCACATGCCTGTAATCCCAGCACTAGGTAGGCTGAGGCAGGAGGATGGTTGTGAGTTGGAGACCAGCCTGGGCTACAAAGTCAGCTCAAGGCCAGCCTGAACTACACAGTGACACCCTGTCTCAAAAAGCCAAAAAGCCAAAAAAACAAAGGTTTTAAATTGATATGAATAAAACTAACAAATTAAAATTAAAATAGTAACAGCTCATTTTAAAAACTCAAACCACCTAACCTAAAATTTCTTACTCTTCCTTAAGATTAACTAATTATACATTTTACTTCATATGGAACTCTTAAACAGTGACCCTTAGAAGAAATCAGTCTTTTATCTTCCATCAACTACAGAACCAATGAAAACTTCCATTTTGGATAATAAGGACTTACCATGATATCAGCAATGATAATATCAAAACTAAATATTTACAATGGTATTCTAATGTGACTGCCCTCTACCACTCCAACTTAAAAATGTCCAAGTCACAATTTACCTTTACACACTCTTTCTCCACAGTAGTGAATCCACCCAACATGCATCTCCGACACACAGTACCTGCTCATTCTCCCAAAGCAACGATATGTACTTTTGCCTTTACCCACCACGTTCACTACACTCCTCCTCAATATGCACATGGAGCATCACCCACTGCTGAGACTAATGTTACAAAACCATCTGGTGCTTCTGACCGACTGGTGAAAATCAGGGAAGCAGCTGTGAGACGCATGCAACTTCGGAGAACCAACCCTAAGGCAAACTTCCACCAAGCCTAGTAGCCTCCCACCCTTAAACTACCTCCCTGCCAAAAACTTTTTTTAGCACTCCAAAATCTCACAAATTAGGGAGTTCATTGGCATCCTTTTAAAGTGTAAAATTTACAACAGTTAAAGAAATTCTTTATTATTTAGACTTTGTGTAAATTAACTACGTAAGATGTCTTCTCTGCTACACCAGCCGCTGTCAAAGGCGACACTGGTCCTGTGAACACAGACTAAAAGATCCATGCAGTTCGCAATGGGCCAGCATGAAACACTCGAGGGAGGGGCCCGCGTGGACACCGAGACAGCACAGCAGCACGTGGCCAGGGGAGACCCCGGCAGCAACACACCTGCCTTTGAACCTGGCTCCACTATGTACCCCGTGACCCAGAAAGGTAACTTCAGCCCTTTGTACCTCGCTTTGCTCTACTATAAAACAGTATTTCCCACAAGACAGTTTTCTGTAAGATAGAATGGTACAAGTACCTCACGTAACACAGTCTCAAAAGTAAAGAGTAACAAAAAGTTGCCCTCATTTCCATGTTCACTATTGAGGTAAGTTCAGAAGGTGCCAAAGAAAAAAAGAAGCACGCTGGTGGGTGGGGTGGGGGAAAGAAGCTAAAGAGAAACTCTCAAAAATTCCTCCTTGAAAATCAAATTCAATCCAGAGAAGGGTTAAAAAAAAAACTTGTTTCCTTTCTCTACCTCACTCTCATTCCTTCTTCACCCAGAACCCAAAACGTAGGTGGGAGAGCGAAATGTACAACACTACATGGTGAACTGTTTGCATAAGCAGACCTTGAAAGATGCAGTCAGAACCACATTCCACTTCATGTAACAAATATCACTGAGCAACTTTTATGAATAAAGTGTCTTAGGTGGAAGTGAGATGAGTAAGGAAAAACTTTCGGGCTTTAAGGAATTAAAAATTTTAAACGACTGACTTCGGAGACTTTCACAGCTCTGACCTCTGGGAACAATCAGTTCCCAAGTTAGGGACATGCGCATGTCCTGTATCACTATGGGAAACATTAGGGTATGAGAAAGAGATGCAGCAGAGAGCTGATGGCTTTCAGACTGTACTTATACTACTAGTCAGCTTTTCAGTAATTGTTGAAGTTGTAATATAAAAAATTACCTGTCAAAATTTCGGTGTTTCTTGCAGCTATTGTTTTAACTTTTATTATTCCTGATTCAGCAGCCTGCAGGAATAAAGAAAAATTAGAGAATAACTTATTATCAACATAAATTATGTAAGGAAAAGCAGTAATATATGATACACAAAATTAAACGCACAACAGAATCAGTCACTAACATCTTTATTTTCAAAGTATCAGACACTAAGCCCAGTTACGACACACACGTTACACATAGTAAAATTAATCGATCACTCAGTGCCCACTGTATGTTACCTTCTTCTGCCTTAAAAATAACACAAACAAAACCGAAGGGAAAGAATTAGACTTTTCTTCCCCATTTCACATCTCCTCTCCCTCCATCACAAAAAAACTGCACAACACTGTGAAATAAAAGTGCTGTTTGGATTCAAACAGCCAGTTTTCATTTCTTGAAATTGGACAACTAAGTATTTGTTTCTGCTCTTTAGTAAAACTTCTTCAATCGTTTGAGTGTTTATAATACCTCTAAGATACTCTCTTTGTTTGGCTGTTAGTATCTTGCAGTCACAAAGCATTTTACAAAATACCAAACAATGCCTCTACAATATGGAAGCCACTGACCGCACGTAGGTATTAGTATTAAGCACTTTGATACAAGGCCAGCGCAAACTGAGCTGCGCCTGCGGGGTAAAATGCACACTGTATTTTGAAAACTGAGTACATAAAAAAGGAAGGTAGAGGAACAAATACATCAAAGTAGTGATCAGCAGCAAAATACAGCTTCCCCATGGCCTGGGATCCAGAAACCTGGAAAAAGACAACTTGGTGAAGAGGGGAAAGAAAAAGTGTATCTCTGGGAACTGAAAGGAAACTGACAAGAAAATCAGAAACTACAGAGAAGCTGGAGAAACACAGCACAAGGCAAGAAAAAGGGTGAAGCACTGTGGAACTTCACTGGAGCTCTGGAGAGGGGAACCTGTCTCAGCAAACACAAACCAGGTCTCCAGGGCTGGGAGGTCTAAGGAGCAACAGACTGCACCAGCAGCACTAATCCCAAGAAAAGCCCATGGCTATTGTAAACAGCAAAAGCAGAGTGGAGTTTTGCTTTGAAAATGACTGCTCCCATAGGGCAGGCGAGCAGGAGAAGTCAAGCGCGGAACCCAGAGTATCGCCAGACAGCGTTTAATCAGGCACTGTTTCAGGAAGGAGACGGAGCTACAAAATCACCTCACTTCAGAGTTCCGAATAGCATCCTCTGAAAGCGACCTGCTGAGAGGCAGTTACAGGACAGGGATTCAGAGTGGGTGCAGGCTGGTCAAATAAGCCCTAAGAAGTTTCACCTCAGGCCAGGAGAGTCACTGCTCTGCCCTCTGTGGCCAGAAGCCAGGCCCAGTGTACGTGGCTGACACTGGTGGCTGTGTTTGAAATAGCTGGAGGTACAGTAGTCTGCTTTATCCCTATCCCAGCTGCCTACACTGAGCACAAATCAGAGGTCTAACTGCTCTCCCCAACTACCGATGTGAGCACGGGCACACCTCAGCCTGGATGGAAGCCAAAGCCTGGGAGCCTGGGATGAACTGACGGGGGCCTCTGGAGCACCTCACAAAGCCACAGACTGGGAACTTAGGCAAAAAAGACTATGGGTTGTTGGATTATAAAACTGTGCGTGTCAGCAGGATACAACTCACTCAAAAATACAGAATTTTTTTGACTTTTTTTTTTTATTCATTGGTGTTTTAGAGGTTGTAGTTCTTTTCCCCTCTTTTAAATTCTTGATTTTTTCTTTTTTCTTTTCTGTTCTTTATCTAAATTGATTAATTTTATTTTACTCCTTAATAGGATCCATTAGCACAATTTTTTCTCATCTTTGATTACTTTTTCAAACTACTTTTTCATTCTCCTACTCCCTACCCTCTATATTTTTTATTAGTATAACCATTAAGCTTTATTAATCTTTAGTAGCTAACTCTGCTTTTACTCTCGAATTTTTTTCTATTCTTAGTGGAGGTATAGTTGTTATATTTAGTAGGTATTTACTGTATATCAACATTGCGTTCATCTTACACTTTGTACTATAACCTTCTCTATGATTACGAATGATATGTGACTGATTCTTATGACGGGGCAATATTCAGCGTGTTTTCACATTGTTATGATTGCTGATTTAGACACTACTGCCAGGGTGGCACAGGCTTTCTCTGTATGTCCATATCAGAACTGTATGTATCATACTGTGATTTACCCCTGGATTAGCTGGGTGCTGGGCAAATTACACTGCGTCCTCTACAACCACATTAATGGAGACGGTGAGAGCTTGGGAAAGACACCAAGGTTAACAGTTAGCCACAGAGTACATCACTGAAAAGCAGACACTAACTAGAGAGCCCTCTACACTAACAACAAAATCTTTCCACTATAAATGCCCACAACCTTGAGCGTGCACACACAAAAGAAACAAACAAAAAAGAAAACAACAAAAACTAGACACACAAAAAGACAAGGCAACAAAATGCCTCCAAAAACTCCCAGCGTCAATGCGTGGTTCAGCAAGGGAAGGAAATCAAAAGCCATGGGGGCTAAATTATTCAAAATGACAAAAGATTAAAAAACAGATCAGCAGGACCCCAACATAAGCAAGCCCATGACAGACCACAGAGCGGCCCCTGATGCAAGCATGCAGACCAACACTGGACCACAGAAATAAAAAGGATTTATATAGGAAAGGAAGATTTCAAATTATCATTATTTGCAGAAGATACGCTCCTCTACAAAGACCAAAACATTCTTAGAATTAATAACCAAATTCAACAGTGTGGCAGGATACAATATCAATACATAAAAATAAACAACATTCCTGTACACCAATAAGGAACTCATACAGAAAGAAATTTTGAGAACAATACCATTCACAGTAGCACCAAGAAAAATTAAATACTTAGGAACTAACCTGAGGAAAACTACCATATTCCGAAAAAGGAGATCAAAGAAGACATCAGAAAATGTTGTCAAATTTTGCATAGACATCAGAAAATGTTGTCAAAATGGCCACACTGCCAAAACTGATATACAGATGTTATGCAATTCCAATTAAAATACTATTAGCATTCCTCACAGAACTAGAGAAGACAATCTTAACATCCTTATGGAAATTGAAGAGACCCAGAATAGTACAAGCAACCCTGGGCAATAAGAAGAAAGCAGAGGCATCCCATTCCAGGACCTGAAGTTATATTACAAAGCTACGGTGATTAGAAACAGCACGGTACTGGCACACAGGATTGCCAGACAGAAGGATAACCCTGAGTCATTCCTAGTCAAATGGATGCACCTGGAGACCATAATGTTAAGTCCATTAAATTAGATACAGAGGCTTAAACATCACATGTTCCAAAACCACCATTCATGTACTTTTTCTAAGATTGGCTTCATTCAGCATTGCTTCTACCAATCCTATGAAGTTCTCAATGTCCTATAAGCAAATTTTCTGTTTCAATCAGCTAGGGTCAGTTTTCATTGCTCACAACTAAGAATAGTAACGGATCCACTAGGACTTATTTCTGAAACTTTGAAAAATGGAAATATCTCAGATTAACAAGGCTGCTTCAGAAAAATAGTATCAAAATAAAATCTTTCCAGGAAAATTGTTGATTTTCTGATTATTTGAGGTAGTACCTATATATAAGAACCTTTAAAACATTCTGATGCTCAGGTTGCAAACTATTCCATTTAAATCAAAATGACTGCCAGAAGGAGCCACCATCAATATTTAAAACAAAATCTTCAGGTAATTCTAATATGCAGTGAATTTAAAGAGATTACTGCAATAATGAAAGCAAAAGGTACCAGTGGACAGATGTAAGATAGTAGTGACTTAAGTGATAAGAAGAGGTCTGATTCTGAATATACCTGGAAGACGTACAAACCATAGCACATTTAAAGAACACAGAAATGCTGAAATTATTATCTATACTGTGAAATACACATCCAATCTCAAACCCTGGGTGTCCCGAGCAGCTCGAAGTTCCCAGGGTGGTGGGGGAAGAACAGCAAGAGAATGGGACTAAAGAGACAGAAGCGGGAGTCAGGTGGAGCCCTCTTACCACCAGGGGCACTTACACATTTGACAAGGTTAGTGTCACGTGACACAGCTTTGCCTAGCGAATGATTGCTTGGATTGTCTCAGGCTTGGTGTTCTCTAGACTGATATAGCTTGATCACATGGTTTGCCTCAGGTGCTCTTTGTTCACCACTAGCCTTGCCTTGCCCCTCACAGGTATGATTAATTTCCACCTTCAGCTACTCTCTATAAAACTCTTCAGTAATTTCTTACTAGGATAGCCAAAATTAATCTATGCCCAATGAGATTTCTTTTACTGTTATTTGCAAAAGTTTAATTGCTCTCCCTTGTCTCCCTATGCTCTATATACCTTACATATATCCAAATTCAATATTTCATTTTGCTTCCAGGTCAGGAGCTTGATCAAAATGAACCATCACAAACACCAATGTCATTTGTCCAGACTTCCTAAATTTTAATTGCCAAACCTTAACAGTGTGCAGAAACTTTCCAATGATATGTAGGACACGAGATGTCAATAAAAGATTTTAAATTTTCCAGACACTGTTTTGATTTCCTGAGATGAGTAAGAATTGATACATGAGTGCATACATACGTTTAACAAATATTTTAAAATTTAAATTTATAAAGGAGATCCAACATGGCTTACTAAAGAAGTCATGTCAGAGATACTCAGAGAAGATTCATGAAAATATAGGTACTGTGAAGTTAGTGAGGTGCTGTCTTTATTACTTTTCTCTTGTTGCTGAGACAAAAATACCTGACACCCAAAAGTGAGGAAGGAAAGGTTTATTTTTTTGTTTGTTTTTTTGTTTTTCTTCTGGTACCAGGAATTGAACTCATGACCTTGCGCTTGCCAGGCAGGTACTTTGCCGCTGAGCTAAATCCCCAGCCCCTAGGAAAGGTTTATTTAGTTCACTTTGTGGAGGTTTCAGTCCATAATCAGCTGGCTCCAAAGCAAGGTGGCATGACACAGTGGCAACACTTCAAGGCAG